GGCTCTGGCCCCAGACGCTGCTGGGGACGTACTGGGCCCTGGCTCCTCGCTCACTCACCCCGAGTGCCTTGGGAGTGAGGGCCCTGAAAAAACAAAACAAAACAAAACAACCGAAAAAACAGACCAAAGAACCTATAGTTTTAAGTGATACAAATCTGAAGGGGCGTCCTCCGGGTGGCTTGGGCAGCCTTGGTGTTTCAGCGTTTACGTTTGAGTAATCCACGTGAAGTAAATGCACGTTTAGCGCCGTACGGAACGTCAGGAAGGGAGCTCAGCAGGCCGCTGCTCTGATGGCTGCCTCGGGAGCTCAGGACGGCAGCATGCGCAGCGCTCCGCGGGCTGTCGCCTTCAGCCTGGCGTGCTGATCCTCGGGGCCTGGCTCCCCTCTAGCGCTGGGGAGCGGTGGCTGTGCCTGCCCGCGCATCCCGCGGGGTGTATGCAGAGCTGGGCGGCTCCCCTGGCTCTGCTTCCTGCAGCGAGGCACGGCTTCGCCAGGGCTTTACGTGATGGTGCTAAAAAGAGAGAAAAAGAAGGAAGGAAAAAAAAAAATAATAATGACTTGCTGTACTTCGTGGGGTTTATCTTCAGGAGTTTCACAGCGTGGTGAGTCAGAACAAGTGTTCATCGCTGATGCCTCAGACAGGTTTACAGTTCTTGATAAAGGTTTATGGAGTTTGATAACAAGTTCCTGGACCAAATTCGGTCCTAAATAATTTTAGGACATGTCTAACATCTGCTGCTATAGCATTGTAGGCTAAATATCAGCTGGCAAAGAAAGGAGCCTGGGCCAGCTGTAGCTGCTGTAACTCTTCACAGCGGAGAAAAAGAATGAGAGAAAAGGGGCAGGGCAAGAAGTCAAGGGTATGCTTTTCCCGTTGTATTTTTAAATAATTGACTTTGCTAACTGTTATGAAAAACTGCTAGAAAAAATGTTTATAATTAAAATGTTGCTAGGAACTGTTGGTAAAGAATGTGTATTTAGGCTTTTGGGTTTCAAAGTGAAGCCCTAGAAGTACCTTTTTAAGTGCTTGTTTTCTCTTTTTCCATTTTAGGAGTACCTCAGAGGTATTTTTTTTTGGACCTTACTGTCTAGAATATATAGACAAGGTCCTTGATTGGACTAGAAAGTAGTGTGTTTTGGAGCAGGGTTAATTTGATAATAAACAGAAAGCCTTAATTTTCTTTCAGAGTTATAGATGGATATATTTAAAAGGGAGTGGGGCATAAAGCAAAGGGAGTTAGAAGAAAAGCATGTTTGTTTTTTTTCTTTGAGGGAATTGCTGTAACTAATGTTGGGCTTGTTTAATCTGATGGCAACTCTGTGTGTAGCTGTAATACATATAGCCACTCTAGCGCACTACCAGTCTTGAATCAAAATGCACTAGGTAACACTTTAAAAAGGATTGGTATTAAAAAAAGGAAAAAAAAATCATGCTGTAAGCAAAGGTGATGGGTTATGTGACTGTATTAAATTAAAAAAAAAAAAATTATTTCTATTAAAACACAGTTAATCATCATTTTGTAATCAGTTAGTGAAGAAGTGAGACCAAATGCTTGTCATTGACATTTCTTCCTCTTCCTTCTCCTGCCGTGATTTTCTGGGGTAATTAAGATCACTATCTGAGTTTTTCAGTGCTGTGTGTTTTTTCTTTATTAAGCCTTCACCACTCCACAAAATTCTTTTGGCATTAATTAAATGCTTTATTACTGAATAGGTCACAAATATTTCAGCTGTCTAATTGCTGAAATTGCTCTTGGTGAAATTAATTCAGGATAGACAAGGTTTATCCTCTTTGCAAGGTACATTCAGCCAAGTACTGCAAGGGAATGCATGATGTAAGCTCCTTCAAATATGTTACTGCCAGGTAACTTCAATCAGTGTCTGGGCAGGACTAAGAGTCTGGCATTGACCTGATGCGTGGGGGAATGTTATGGTGTCTGGCTTCGTGTCTGTTGTGTCTATTATAATCAGTTCCTATTTGTAGTGAATGAGTTCCTAATTTATACAATTTAATGGCTGCAAAGCCTGTTCCAATTAGAGCTTGAATTGAATTGACAGAGGGTGTTTTATTTAGTTCAGCATTCAGTAAATTATGTAGCAGGTGCTGAAGAAGGGAAATAGTGTTTTGCTTCGTTGTCTAAATCATGACGACTGACTGGACTACTGAGAATTTTAAGTAAAATGTAATAGTCTTCCTTTTTCTTCCAGTTTGGTGGAAGTTAAGGAGGGATTGCAGTTGTGCTTCTATTTGGACTGCTCAGAATGACAGCAATATTGCAACTCAGTGAATCAAGGACATTGCGTTATACAGACAGGGCTATAAACGGCCAATCTACTTTTGTGTCAAGGCCTCTTCGCTATAATCAGCTTACATTCCATTTGCTTAGTATACCGAGCAGACCTGCTGTGACAGTATTTGTATAGTGTCTTATTCACAGTGTCCTTTTAAAAGTTTAGCCGTATGCCCACCTACTGTGCTAGCACTGCTGTACATGTAAGGGTTTTACAACAGCTATTTCCTTCTCTGATTCTCTGAACAACAGGTGACACCTGTGCATTTGAGCCAGAAATATGGGATTGTTTGACAAGCTAGCGGGATGGCTTGGGCTGAAGAAAAAGGAGGTTCACGTTTTGTGCCTTGGCTTGGACAATAGTGGCAAAACAACGATTATAAATAAACTTAAACCTTCAAATGTAAGTAGACCACTTAGTTCACTGTCATTTTTTTTGCTGCAGAGTTGATGTTTGTTTAAACTGGTTTTGCATGCTGTTATATTAAATGTGACCACGGAAAAGATGTGAAGTGCTTTTTGAATTAATGCAGTGGAACAAATATATTTTAAGTGTTTCCAACTAACTAAAACTAAATGTAAGCATCCACGTGCATATTATGAAAACATTTCCCAAAAAAAACACTGTTAATGTGGCACGTTTTTTCTAAGATCACCCAATAAGGAAGGGTTTACGAAGGCTGGAATCAGAATCTGAAAGAGTTTTCTTAAATCACTTAAATAATTGCTGTAGGATTGCAGCTATGAGTGATATGTTGAACATTTGGGATTAATACAGTTGTATAACAACCTGTACTTGTCTACATTTATCACATTTATTTTAATCTCTTCCTGAGAAATAGTAAGTATATGATAAATAATACAATGGGAAATTATGTGAAGATGTGCCCTTAATGGTGACTTCAGCATTTTTAAAGCAGAATAACTTTCAAAATAAGCAGCATTTATGCTTGCAGTTTGTTCATCCAGTGAAAAGTGTGAAGAGGGCATGGTATTCTGAGCAAAATTTAAAGTAAGATTACCTTCTTTCTAGGTACGTTTATGGAATAGAAATAGATTAAATTTGGTAAAGCCAGAGGTTTGTGCATCTTGGTTATATGCATCTGGGAAACCGGGATTTCTGCTGTTTACATCAGGACACAGCTTTTGTTTTTTAATTTTCGTTGAACTTTTCCTGAAGAGTACCACTGGACATGGTTTTTACAATGTAACATGGTAAAGAGTCTACTACTCTTCCATTCCTGGCAATTATTCTACCACTGAAAATTAAATAAATCTACAAACAAAGACTATAAACTTCTTCCTCTCTGCTGCCAGTCTTTTGGGGGAAGTGCTACAATTTGTAGCAAGTTATATCTTTATGTAATTTTTGAGGTCTTTATTGTAGCAGGGGTTTTATGTCATGCCTTAAACAGTAAAGGATTCCTAACTAGGGTTGAACACAGACTTGAGGATTTATCACAATAATAGGTATTAGAGAAGGTCCCAAGGGAATAACACAAGTAGAATAAATAGAATTTGTTTGCTTTACTCTAAATCGTGCAATGAGAATTTACTTCTAAATGTAGAAATGGCCTGTATCAGAAACAGTGTGACCAGCAGCAGTAGGGAAGTGATTGTGCCCCTGTACTTGGCACTGGTGAGGCCACATTTTGAATACTCTGTAGAGTTTTGGGCCCCTCGCTACAAGAAGGACGTTGTTTAGCCTGGAGAAGAGGAGGCTGAGGGGAGACCTTCTTACTCTCTACAACTACCTGAAAGGAAGCTTAGTGAGGTGGGGGTTGGTGTCTTCTCCCAAGTAACTAGCGATAGGACAAGAGGAAATAGCCTCAAGTTGCACCAGGGGAGGTTTAGATTGGACATTAGGAAACATTTCTTTACTGAAAGAGTGGTCAAACATTGGAGCAGGCTGCCCAGGGAAATGGTGGAGTCACCATCCCTGGAGGTGTTCAAAAAGCATGATGATGACTTGTAGACATGGTTTAGTGGGCATGGTAGTGTTGGGTTGACAGCTAGACCTGATGATCTTAGAAGTCTTTTCCAGCCTTTATGGTTCTATGATTCTATGTTTTCATTTAATGTGATGCTTTAGGAGGGTAGCTTTGCCTACAACTTGTGCAAATCCTATTGTTGCAAGACATTACAGATTCTCTAATGTTCAATGAATGTCATTAGATCAGACTTGATGAAATTGTTTATTGTTACTAAGTTCAATGGACAGATAATTTTGAGCTCTGGATCAACCCAGTTTTTGTAGGAACTGCTACATTGCCCTGGGAGCCATATATTAGGTGTCTGGCAAATGCAAGTGTTTCTCCATCTGTTTGCAGTTGTTTTTTCTGGGTCTGAAAAAATATGTTTGAAATAAATGTTGAAGAAGTAACACCTCTTCTACTTCACACAAATTTTCCCTTGGTGACAGGAGCTGTTGTCTAAACTGTCTACGATGGTGGCATGCCATTTTCATAATGAAGCTGCAGGTGAACAAGCTAAGCTTGCTTCAGTTGTATGCAAGGAATCAACTGCTTATAGTCAGTGTTTTTAATAAGGGGCTCTAGAAAGTCTGTAAAAAGATTGCATGTCACTTTCTCAGACAGCTCTGTAATCTTAAGGAATGTGATCTTTTCCCCTTCCCAATATTGATGCTTCTTAAAGGAGCTATTCTGTTGTACCAACTTAGCTCATGGATTCCTTGGCTAGCTCAGCAGTAAGCCTGGTTATCAGGCTGATCTATTAATAATGCTTTATGTTTTGGCCATTCCTCTGTGGTAAATGGTGATTTCTTCCAGTGATCTAGTAGTTTGAATAGAATGTGGTTAGGCCACTGTGTAATGTCTGCTGTATAATTCCCCATGTCAAATAGACTCCTCCAGCCTGTGGATAGAAGCTGGGAGTATGGCCAGCCTAGTGTCTTGATAAAAGCCTGGAGAAGAGAAGGCTCCAGGGGGACCCTGGAGCAACCTTCCAGTACTTAAAGGGGGCCTACAGGAAAGGTAGGGAGGGACTTTTTACCAGGGAGTGTGGTGACAGGATGAGGGGTAACAGTTTCAAACTGAAAGAGGGGAGATTTAGATTAGATATTAGGAAGAAATTCTTCACTGTGAGGGTGGTGAGACACTGGCACAGGTTGCCCAGAGCAGCTGTGGCTGCCCCCTCCCTGGCAGTGTTCAAGCCCAGGCTGGATGGGCCTTTGAGCAACCTGGTCTAGTGGAAGGTGTCCCTGCCCATGGCAGGGGATTGGAACTAGGTGAACTTTAAGGTCCCTTCCAACCTAAACCATTCTATGGTTCTTTTTCATCTAAGAGGCTTGGGTTATTGTGCAGACTTGTTTGGGCTGACATTGTGATTTCCAAAGTGCACAAATATTGTGAACTTTGACCTCAGTCATAATTTTCAAGCTGTTATCTCCCGTGTTAACCTGTCTCCTATTTATTTCGTAGGTAATATCCACACATATGTGTACACACAGACTAATGTAAAGGGTGAAACCTCACTCTTCAGGCTAAAATGTCTTCAGTGCTCTTGTCCAATAGTGCTCACTGTATTTCCTAGAAAGAACCAAAAACTTGATTTTGAATTGTTTTACTTTTCTGGTGACTTTTTTAATATAAAGTATCTGGATTTGTAAAAAGTTTTTGTATTGCACAGTTTGGGGAAAAAAGATCTGTAATGTATTCATGTTTCAAATATGTTTCAATATTTACAACTTGTTGTAAAATTTGTACTTTCTTTTCTTTAAAGGCTCAAACTCAGGACATCGTTCCGACAATAGGATTCAGTATAGAGAAATTCAAGACTTCGAGGTAGTAGTTTCTGTCATTTTCTCAATTTAGCAGTAGTAGTTAATATACGATCATTGGACTTAATTATCTCCTTCAGTGGGATGTAACTGAGTATAATGTGTGGTGGTATAATGACACAACATGCAGTTTGCTGAAATTTTGTGGTACTCAGGAATCTTAATCATCGTTACAATGTATCATATCTTTTGTGCTGCTGTAAAACTATGTATGTGGGGAAAAAAAAAAAAAAATTGTTTTTTTTTTTTTTTTTTGCAGTAGCGTGTATAAGCATCTGATTTCTGTCTGTTAAGAATTTCAGAACAGGACACTGTTACAGGCTTGAGGGGAGACAGTTGCTTAGATGGTAACCTGTATTCCATTAAGTGCTCTTACTGGAGGGACTCTGAATAGATTGCAATCTAATCTCATTAAAAGAAAAAATGGTGGCTACAGCGTTAGCAATGTAAAGATGACAGGGGCAAAGGTCAGGAAAAGGAGGAAGAAATCATTAGTTGAATGAAGGCTAATATTTAGAAAAAGAATGTCATGAGACAAAGATACTTCAAGGAAGTAACTTTAGATATTATTTTATAATTCTGTAGGCTTCACGGTGTATTTTTAATGGGTGCAGTTAGTCTTCAAACCAAAAAGCATGCCCCACCAGATGAAAGATCTGCAAGAAAACTGTTTATTCCTTGAGCCAAATGATGTGTGGGACTGATAGGTTTCATATTTTTATGAAAATCAAAAGGTCAAACTGTGAGGCTCAACAGCTGTGTTCTGTCTCTTTAAAGCGTGTAAGACAGGTTTGGGGTTTGGCTGTGTGAGACTGTAAATCGATTTATATAGCTTTCCTTTATTCTGATCCTGCAGTAGGAGAGATGACCAGCAAATACACCATGTAGAATGATTAAAAACCAAACAAACCCACAACCCACCCCAAAAACTCATTAATCTAATATTACAACCAAAACATTGTTTGGGGGTGGCTAATAAATTTGTACATGGCAGAGCGGCTAGTCTAGAATCAGGTGATGTCTGGATATAGAGTGGAAAGGATGTCTGCAGAGCTTCGTTTGCTAAACCACCTCATTTTGGTGCAGCCTCCACTCAGGGAGCTATTTGGGACTATCCAAAACAGGAAAGCCTAATACTGAAGTCGATGTTGCCTCTATAGATATTTCAGGAATAGATCGGAACTTTTTTTGTAATGTTCTTTAAGTTGACTTGATGTATTTAGTGTTTGGGTGAAATCTCAAAGTTGCGAAGACTACCCTTTGTGGCTTGGTCGCCTTAAGTGACCTGTTATTACCAGAATGTGATTTTTTTCTGAAGGTGGGATTTTTTAAATTTTTTTTTTTTTTTAGAAAAGCCTTTTTATTTGCATATAGAAGCCTTTGGATGTTATCAGTGCCTGTCTAGGGGCAGAATTTAAGACAGGCTGTGGATTTTAAGTCATGGCTCATCTGAATTTCTTTTACTCAACATTATAAACAATATTTGATACTAATGTGATAAAAAGTGAGGCTGAATGGGAGCTTATTTTGTATCTTTATAATTGGTTTAGTTCTATTATTCAGAGAATAAACAAACATTTTCTGTTGTAAAATATTTCTCTAGTAAGTCTGCAAAACTGGGTAGGATAGTTTGAAGGCTGATAGAGTAACCAGAGTTCCTCTGGGAATATTTTTCTGTTGATTAGGACTCAAGCTGATCTGGCTTTTTTTCTGTCAAGGTAGCAAAGAAAATGGTTTGGGTTTTGTTCTTTCTGTGCCTCATACACTTCTTTTCTTTGCAGTTTGTCTTTCACGGTGTTTGATATGTCAGGTCAAGGGAGATACAGAAACCTCTGGGAACATTACTACAAGTAAGTCTATCATTTATTTTAAAGCATTGCTGTTCATATTAGCTGTCATGTGTTATTTAAACAGAAGTATGATAATATCTAGTGATTAAAAATTATTCAGAGAAGACTCACCTGGTGTTTGACAGAAAGTCGTTCTAGATAAATACGACTTTTTTCTGTTCTAAAAAATGAAAATTTTTATATGCTGTTATCAGCATGCTTTTGTAGTCATCTTGCTGACTTGAAGATTGGGGGAGCGTATGTAGAGATGGGATTTAAATGTTGAAACTTGAAAGCCAATCCTGTAAGAAAGCACCGAGATGAGTTAGGCTTCCTATTTTTCTGTTCTTCTGTGGGTAAGTAACTTAAGACCCAAAGATATTGGTTGATGGCTGGGATTTTTAGAGTTGAGGGAAATTAACCTCAGAGATTGAGGTACATGTAACTAAGAACTTGACCAAGTATTCTTAGACGTTATTCATTAAGCGGCATATTCACTGTACTTCATAACACTATGATATTGCCCTATTTGTAATAAACACCATTTTCTGTTTTTCTAGCTTCTAATGAAATCTTGAATCTTAGTTTATGTTGTCTCATTTTATTCTGCAATACCTGATGCTCATCTAAATAAGGTGAACAGCAGTAAACCACACAGAAATAGCTTCGAGAAATAGAATGGAGGAATTCTGAAGATTATTATATTGACTAAAAATTAATATTTAATGTGATAGAGCTTAAAGTGTTCTTTAATGGAGGATTAACACTTCGTCTCCTTTCTGTGCAAAATATGTTTTGAAAACTTGTGTGGGCAGGAGACCTTCATTGTTCAAGAGTGTTAGATGTATGTCTCCCAAATCTTTCGGATTGCAATAACTGATGCCTTTAGGCTGCTCTCAGAGTGCTAGCCAAGTGCTTCATAAGCACATAATTTTTCTACCTGCTGTATTTAATGCATTAATTTATCCCTTGTGTGGCATAACCGGCTTTTTTCGTCTTAGCAGTAAGGGAGTTCTTAGGTAATGCTGACAGTGAAATGTGCACTTTTATCCACCTCTGTTCCTGATCCAGTGCAATAGTCACGTATTTAAGATTAACTTCTAAGAATAATATAAAAATAATAATGTGCTGTTCATTTTACAAAGTTAAGCAAGATTTAATTTTGCAAGAATTGCAAAATGGCAACCAAATCTGATCAAGTGTCTAAGTAGTTGCTTCAGAGTGGTTGAAGCCTGCCCTTTTCTTCTGTTTGGCTCAAAACAATCTTCTAGGATGTCCTCAAAGTACACTTGTCTTAAACTTATGTAAGCTCATGTTGTGTCCCTATTACTGTTACTTGTTTGTGAAGTTATTTTTTGGTACTAAGTACATGCTAGACTGATTCCTCTAGAAAAATCCTGTATGCTCATCAAATTTACTTAGGCATTTCCAGCTAATATGCAAAAGTTTTATTTACTGTTAAAGTTCTTCTGTACTCCAGATAAGAATGGACCTTCTCACACACTCTTAGGCTGGTCAAGTTATTTCTGGTTTTCAGTAAGTCTAGGACTATTTCTATCAAAATAGGAAGGTAGATGGTGCTGGGGGGGGTGAAGAATGTATCCGTAATGGTCTCGCAGAGAAATGTAAAACAAAGGAGAATTTAATACTACATTAAAATGTAAATTAAAAATACTTTTTGAAGGTCTTTATAACTGCTCATCAGTTGGTCAGACTTTATTTTGCGTTCAAGTAAGTTTCAATAAATAAAACATCAAGTTATAAAATATCAGTAATCTCCTGAAATAATGAGTTGAAGAGTTGTATATATATGTTGTGCCTGTGGTCATATTGCCAGAAAAATGTCTTAACAATTTGAAATAGTTGCAAGTTTTTGCCTGTCACTCAAAACAAAGGTCCTGTTTATGCAGATTTTTGTAAAAGTGAAATTGATCTGCATATGCCTAGTTGTTAAGCATCTGTGGACACATGGGGGTTTTTTTAAAAAAGATAATTGACCTTTCTCTAAATAAACTTGGTTTAGTGTAGGAAATAAAGAATTTCTACAAAAACCTGTTGAGATTTTCCTTGTGTGTCGGACCACACTGTTAGAATAGCAGTTGATTACACTTTCATTTTTCAGCCTAAGTAGTGAAATCAAGCTTTTCTGAAGGGTCTGTGTAGACTGAACCTTGTATGAGTCATGCAGCTAACAATCTCATAACAAAACATAACAATAACAACAACAAAAATTAGAGGGGGAAAAAAATCACATTTGTTTGCCTTTATTTTGGTGTTTCTTCTGAAGCCTTTTCTTAATCACAGTTTAAAAGAACCTATAATTTGCCTCTTTGCTCTTTTTATGTTATGCAGAGAAGGCCAAGCCATTATTTTTGTCATTGATAGCAGTGACAAATTAAGAATGGTTGTGGCCAAAGAAGAACTTGACACCCTTCTGAATCATCCAGGTGAGGAGGCTTTTTTCCCCTTCTGTCTCCATATTTGTTATGTTGTCTTAAGAAAAGCCCTTATCTGAATTCTGATTACTTTGCAAATATTTTAGCCGCTCATGAATACTACAACAATAATAGTCTTCAATATGTTTGGGGGGGGGTTTTATACCTATTCACGTTTACAAACTGATGATACTTCAGTTGGCTACGCTGAGTTGGATTGGTCTTTTATTAATCAATATAGATCAAAAGTTGCATTGTTTTAAGGAAGGATAGACTTTGACCCTTTGGAACCTGGAGAGCCTGTGTGTGTCGATGAACACATACAAAAAAGTATCTCCCTGTCTGGATTTTTCCATGAAGACAGCTAATTCCTTTATGTAACTTTTAATTTCTTTTTTTTTCATCTTCGTTATCTTTTTTTTTTTAATGATGCTTTAGCCAAAAATAAGGAGGGATAATTATACCCATCAGTTTCAATTGCCTACAAAAGGATACATGGGATGGAAGAGGATATGAGAGGATTCATAGTTGGGGGGTTGGGTTTAGGGTGTTCATTTGATTTGTTTAGTTTGGTTGGGGTTTTTTACATGAGGCTACACCTTTTTTTAATTAAGTTCTGAGATCAGACAATTCTTCACTTCTTTGGCTTCCATATAGCCAGCATTACTGGAATGTTTTTGTAAGCAATATGCAATTTTGTCTTTCAATACTTTAGGTAGTTGCTCTGAGTAACAGATTATAAAACTACGTGCAAGAAATTTAAAAGGGAAATAATCCTGTAATTCCTTATTTATTTATTTACTAAGATGGTAGAGCCTTAACTTGTGGGGTTACCATGCTGAAAGTAAAAAAGGAAGAGCTGACTTGCATTTCTAACCAAGAAAAGCACTATGTGATAGTTACTATGATTTTATTTTCCATGAACACTGCATATAATATGTTAGTTCATCAACAAAGATGCTGTAGCTGAGTGTGTGAGAGCTGACTGGGCCCTTTTAAGTTCATATTTGAGGGTATGGGCCACTTCAAATGCAGACACTGAAAAGAGTCTTGTGAAGGTCAAAGGGAGGATGAGGTGAACCAAAGGCTGCAAGTGGATTACGCAGAGGTCGGGGAACTTTGTACCAAAGCAGGTATTAACCACAGTGGGGAAAGGCGATTCTGTTGGTGAAACAGAAACCACATAGGAACCAAGGGTGGGAGGCGAAGACTGCTGTAATAAGTTACTGGTTTCTTAGAAGGCAAAAGAGTGAAAATGTTAAGACTGAGGAGATGCAAGCTTAGGTGGGGCTTTTCATTTAGGCATTAATAGCTTATGAATGCTGGTCTAGCAGGTCAGTGCTGTTCAGTTGATGTGTTCGTGTCTTCTAGTTCTGAAAGACCATGGCTATGGCCACCTGGTACATTCCTTAGAACCAGGAAAGGGCAGTTGTGTATTTCTGCCTTGGAGCAGCTCAGGTCAAATGCAGCAACAGTGTTCCTGTTTTATCATTTCGGATTTTGATAGGTTGCATCTAAGAGAACCAAAGAGAATAAAAAGTTCTTCTAGTAGCGACGTTCGATAGAAGTAGCTGTTAACTGAATCAATATGTAACTGTTTTACTATATCAATATTTTTATTTGTATTACTGTTCTGCTTTTCTTCCTGCATACCCTACTTTATCCCCATCTATGCTTCTGCCTTGAACCTCCTGGAGTGGTTTAAATTTTCGTGTTTACTTAAGGTTTAAATGGATGCAGGGTAACAACTTTCAATCAATTTCTCTCTCTGAAAGTCTTGGCAATCCTTCAGTAAACCAGTTTCCTCTCTTTTTGCCAGAGGTTGTCAAGTGAAAGGGAACATGTACTGTGAAGCATTAATGGAGTTAGAAGTTGTACTATCTAGGACTGTTTTGTGAATCAGAACTATAAATTATTTTTAATTACACAAGTGGACAATGCACTTTACAAATAACAGCTTGTTTAATGATCACTGTTACCATATTATTTTTTTTAAATCAAACTTCTTCAGCATTTTGCAAGATGGTAGTCTGTGTATTACTTGTTTTAGATATTGACTCTTGGGTCACTTGACCTCCAGCACATGCTTCTAAAATAAACTGGAATTCCTGTATATTTGAAATTCTTTGTATAAAATTACACATCACACATATCTAGTGTCTGAGATTTTTTTTGAATGTGCTAACTCATAACTACTGGCAATGAGAAAATGTTAGCTTTCCATTAATAACTGTAAAAAGGGTGGGGGGAAATACTGCATAGTAGGAAACAATGTCGTAAGGTAGGAAAGAGTGTAAATTTCTGCCACCACCACTTAACAAACATCTTTAAGCGTACGCTTATGAGTCTATGTGGGTAAGTTGTGCCCCTTTTTAATTGCTTTAAAAAAAACCACTGAAAATTCCTTGATTAACTTGGCTATTTGCATATGTGATATCAACCAATTTCTGTGGCTTTAATTTATCCATAACCTGCAACCTGTGGGTACCAGGGTTCATTTAATTATACCATAGATTAATGTAGAAGTTGCAATTCGGAGACACGAACGCTGTTCAACTATGGAATCAAAATAGGCATTTAATGATACTTTGTGCTTGTGTTTTGAGGCCTTTGATTTGTGTTAGAGGATATCAGAGTTAAAAATAGCTCCAGATAGGGTAAATAGTTGTGAAAATGGTCAGTGTTTTGGTCAGCACTCATGATCTCTGAGTGTGAGTAGATGGTGTTATCTCCACTGATTTTGTGGAAAGGTTCAGTAGGGGGTTTGAAAAGAACATAATTAGGAGGGTTCAAACCACTTCAGCATTGACAGTTTGCTGGGGTTTTTGTTCCCTGCCCACCCCCCCTCACCCCCCCTGCCCGGGGCAGCTGGCTTATGTTTGAAGTTTTAAAATGAATCCTTAGCTTGTTTCCTATGTGAAATAACCTTTTCTTTTTACTATTTTAAAAAGAGCCAGTACAGCAGTTTTCATCAGGAGTGGGGTGGGTTGAGTTCTTATCCCATCAAGAATTGGTTGATTGATAGAATCAAATCTAGATTTTTCTCTAATCCTGAAAATCATCCTTTGTTTAAATAATGTGAAAAATTCTTAGTTAGTCTTGGTGCTGGTAATTTTTTGGCAGTTTTGCATCTCTGGGGTTGAAGAGAGTATGCTTTGTTTCTTCTTTTGTGGTAATCAGCAAGGCTTATGCTTCTGAATGCATAAGTATGCCAGGAATTGCCAGTGTATTTGGTTTGGTCCGTAGTTCTCACTGCTAGCTAAGAAGAGCTTCTGGAAAAAAAGTCCTCCTTCAAGTGAAAGTAGGATAAGGGATTGTCCAGACATGTGCATTTTTTTCCTATTTTATGAATTTTATGAAGTCATGGATGCTCTCGAGTATGCTAAAGGATAATTCAGACTACCCTTACGCAACTATTGTTGTGAGGTTATGAATGAACAGAAATAATTTTTCTGTCCATTTTACACATCCAGTCCTCACTAAGCAGAGATGTGTAGTATTTGTAGACAGTTGTTTGATCTCCTGTTCCTCAGCTTCACTAGAAATTTATACCTACAGCTTTAAATGTATGTATAAGGTAGGGGGAGAGGGGGTGGAAGATTCCAAAGCTTGCCAGAAAGTTTGTGAGCATTCTTGAAGCATGCATCAGAGGCCATGTGACCCAACAGTGTGCCTCTTGGTAGGACACAGCCTTCAGAGAACTGCAGTTACAGGTGAGCAAAATATCTTCCTGTGCTGTTCGTAGCTTATGACATGTGGAGATTAGTAAGTGTTGCATAATGTCGTGTTCTGTTTCTGCTCATGCCTAGATATTAAGCACCGTCGACTGCCTATTCTCTTCTTTGCTAACAAGATGGACCTCAGGGATGCAATATCATCTGTGAAAGTATCTCAGTTACTGTCATTAGAAAACATCAAAGACAAGCCCTGGCATATCTGGTAAACTTCCCTCTTTCTACCCTTTTATTGGTATTACTTTGTACATTCATATTTTAGCTCTATCGTTCACTCATAGAGTCATAGAATCATTAGGTTGGAATAGACCTCTGAGATCAAGTCCAGCCGTTGACCTAATACCACCACGCCCCCTAAACCATGTCCTGAAGTGCCACATCTACATGTTTTTTGAATGCCTCCAGGGGTGGTGACTTCACCACTTCCCTGGGCAGCAGTTTGACTACTCTTTTGGTGAAGAAATTTTTCCTAATGTCCAATCTAAACCTCCCCTGGCACAACTTGAGGCCATTTCCTTTTGTCCTATCACTTGTTACTTGGCAGAAGAGACTGACCCCCACCTCACTATCAACCAGATAAAATGCTGTGCTGCCACATGTGGAAATGGTAGTAATATTACAATACTTGCTATGAAACTTGCTTTAAATGCACAATGCATCCATGTAGACTGTGTTTTGCAAATTTTCACAGTAGAACTATTACCCAAATAATGAAAGGGAGGACTTTGAGTGAAATCAGAAGGCAGTGTTCTTATCAGAAGAATAGCTGCTATTACTTTTTTCGCTGGGAAATGGAGTAGAGTTGTTGTCAGAGTCCTGCTGCTAGTTTGTCTTGCAGGTTTCAGAATACCAACAATAAAAACATCAGGGTTGGGTTTTTTCCACTCTGCAGATGCTTTAGTAAACTGTTGAAAGGCCATTTAGTAAACTAATGAAACTTAACAGTAAACTGTTTGCATGTGAATTCAGAGGGACACCATACTTTGTACCCTGTAACGTTTTAGGGGATTTTTACTTGTAGGAGCTAGTGTGTTGTCTAGCTGAAGGATGTAAGCTTTCATATAAATAGAAGGATTTTATGCCAGTGTTCACGAGGAAAAAAACTCTCCTTTTATCAGAAATGTTTTATAGAAGTTAGACTTTTGTCTTTTATTTGTAGCATTTGAGGACATTAATAAGTGAAATCAGCAGTTAAAAGCTGCTGAAAACTACAATTTTCATTTTACACCCTATAATATTAAACTTAATTACCTGGGTGTTGGTTTGGGGTCACTGCTTTTTGTTTCACAAATTACACTGATGAATTCCCGAGCGCCTTGGAAGATAATCTTATAGCTAACCACAGTAACATTCCAGATACATGTCTGTGCTAGTTTTCATAAGCTGAAGAAGAAGGGGCCTTTAAACAGTTATATCTCTGTGATTCAAAAGGTAAATTTCCAGTGTTCTCAGTGTAGCTTAATATTAATATATATTAACAGACACTCTTAGGGTTGCTGTTAGAATGAAGCATGTATGCACTATACTTTCTTCCTCCAGTACGCCAACATTCTTGCTGTGTATAGGAACTGCATTGGGGGACAATCAGACTTGATGATCTTAAAGGTCACAGAATCACAGAATGGTAGGAGTTGGAAAGGACCTCTGGAGATCATGTGATCCAACTCCCCCACCAAAGCAGCTTCGCCTAGAGCAGGTCACACAGGAACGCGTCCAGATGGGTTTTTAATATCTCCGGAGAAGGAGACTCCACAGCCTCCCTGGGAAGCCTGTTCCAGGGCTCTGTCACCCTCAGAGTGAAGAAGTTTTTCCTCATGTTCAAGCGGAACTTCCTGTCCTTCAGCTTCTGCCCATTGCCCCTTGTCCTGTCACTGGGCACCACTGAGAAGAGCCTGGCCCCATCCTCTTGACACCTGCCCTCTAGATATTTATAAGTGTTGATAAGGTCCTCTCTCAGCCTTCTCTTCTCCAGGCTAAAGAGACCCAGGTCTCTCAGCCTCTCCTCATAGGGGAGATGCTCCAGTCCCCTAATCATCTTCATAGCCCTCCACTGGACTCTTTCCAGTAGCTCCCTGTCCTTCTTGAACTGGGGGGCCCAAAACTGGATCCAGGTGTAGCCTCACCAGGGCAGAGTAGA